GTTTATTCGAAAAAGCAAGTCCGGATGGAACAGCAACAAGCAGTTTCTATTTATCACTTTCTTGAGGGTTTAGGGTTTAGAGGTTTAGGGGTTTAGGGTTAGGGAATCACCAGATGTAGTCAGCCATGAACGTCGACGAATGTCGACATGAAGCACTCCTTTATGCTGTTGACAAGCCACACATTTGGCCTTGATACGGCATTATGCTGTGGACGGCAGTGTTGGCCGCGACGGTGGTGGTTACAACAATAATGAGTGATGGAGGGGTGGTGGTGAAGTGGTTAATGGGGAGAAAGCGGAGGACGAGGAACAAGGGTGATGATGATGAGCAGGATGCTGAGGATAGGCCGAGAAGTTCTTTTTGCGGACGAGTTTGCATGCTTTCAACTGTCGTGTCCTGCCCCCCTCATATGTTCAATGAAGAACCCCTGCCAACATCTCCGATGCATGTCAGTCTCCAGACTAGTGTTTTCGTTTGTCGATCCAACCCTAACCTTGGCATGTGTAGAGAGGAAGAAGAGGGAAAGCCATTAAAGCGTCGCACATGCAAGTTTTATGCATTTTTGTGTGTGAAGTCTGAGATGGAGAGCCCAAACCCCAAACCCTAAACCCTCAAGAACAGGATACATATCAATTGTGTGAATTTCGCTTCGAACTGCATCTTCGTTAGTTTCGAGTTTGCCTTAAACGTGTGCGAAGAGACCAATTCCAAGCCGCGCAAGCCCCAGAGCCCCAGCCAGCGCCCAGCCAGCCCAGCCCAGCCCAACCCAGCCCAGGCCCAGCCAGCCCAGCCAAGCTTCGCCCCGCCCGTCCAGCCCCAGAGCCCAGCCAGCCCAGCCCACGACGAGTTGCAAACGCCCAGCCCAGCCCACAGCCTCACAAGCCCGCCAGAATGCGAGATCAAAAATAAAAAATTAGAAAACAAAACTTTCGTTCAAAACGTTTCGCTCAGAACCCGGACCCAAACCCTATATATACAGTCTCTATAAAGCCCAAACCCTGAACCCTAAATGACAGGCCGTTGCTGGAGTGGGTCGGCTGGGATCCATGGTTAGCTGCTACTCCCAGGTCACAGCACCCTGGCCAGAGGATCCGAAAGTTGAGACGGGTCCAGCACTTTAGGGTTTAGGGGTTTGGGGTTTAGGAATTATGTAGTACACTCTTGTTCGTCAACATGTTTACGGTCGTTAGGGGGTTGGTGTTGTGAAGGTTGTCATTAGGCGTCAAAGTGGGCAGTAGTGGCAACAAGAGCCCCGAGATCTGTCGTGAGAAGATCAGGGTTTAGGGTCTAGAGGGGTTTAGGGTTTAGGGTTTAGGAATTGGACTTGCGTCCTCTCAGAAGAAACCCGCGTGGCTTCGGTTTGTCGTTTATTGGCATTGTCATTACCGTACCCAGGCGTGTCCCGGGTCCCAATCCCTCCACTATAAATATTCGGCTGACGCCCAAAGGCTAGCTGCAACAAGGCTGCTTCATGTCATGTCCGGGCGGCCACCCCCTAGCACTACCACTAGGCCTGACTCGTCGACTCTACACATCGCCACCTCAGCTGAGGCTCCAGATGGCACAGAGTCCATCGTCCCGGTCGAAAGCATCGAGAGCATTCGCAGCATGCAGCCGAATCCAGACCAGTCGTTCTCCGTGTGAGCAGCCTGTACTCTGGGAGCCAGTGGCTGCATGCTGTCGTCGTTACTTCATCACTTAGATACAATTCTTGCCGGCGCTGTTGCTCGTAATGGAAATGCTGTTGAGGGTTATCGTTCTTCCGAGTAAGTGCTGCATCGAACAGCTCATACTTGTCTGCGCTTGGACTGGCACACTTGGGATGCCAAGTTTGACTCTTAAAGTTGGTCATTCATAGTGACTACACTGCACAGCCATGTAGATAGCAGACCCTGAAGACTATAGGCCTACCGGTCTGCAGCTAGGCACCGGCTGTGGCGGTTTCGTCTGGCAAACGCCAACGAAACAGAGACCATGCCTGTTTGCCCTTCTTCCAACTCACCTGTACAGAAAAAAGACTTGTGTAGACGCTTTTCTGCTGAGCCTGGAGGAAAGCAGCGTTAAATCTTCCCGACTGCGAAGCAGTATTCCACAACTTTTCTGTGCAGTTTCAGACGAAGAGCTGCACGAACATAGACGCTTAAACATATCAATCACTGCGGCGAATTGTCTGAAACTTCCACGGTGTGATGTCCCGATGCAAGGCATGAGACGTAATCGCCCAATGTCTGGATTAGCATCAACTCAGAGAAGTGCGTCCGGGCAAATATGATAAAACGATGATTTCTTTTCGCAAAAAAGGCGGCACTTGCTTTGCCTAGTGTTTAAGGATAAACCCGAACACTTCCCTCTCTTGATTCTTCATAGCTGATGCACCTTGGGCCATGCACAAATGACATATTTATGGTTAAGATACTAATCATACTTTACCTGGCACACTCCTTAATATCTCAATATCGAAATTATTCTTATTAATAAGAAAGATTCAATTTGAAAATAAATATTAGATTTTTGAAAATATTGAAATTTAAAAGAATTTCGATATTATATTGAGATTTATCAATAAATTCTTAAATTACGAAGAAATATAGATTTTTCCATAATATTTCAAATAAAAGAAGAAGATTATTAAAATATTAAAATCTATATATATATATATTCATATTTGAAAATTTCTTTATTCGAATAGAAGATTTTCTATATTTTTATATAATAAATATGAGAATATAGAAAATCTATTTGAAATAATTTATTAATTTTTTATATTATTTATATTTAAAAATAATAATATTATTTATATTTAAGAATAATAAATAATAAAAGAAAAATTTTAAAATTTTATATGATATAATATAATTGAAATTTCGAAAAATAAAAAAAAATAATATTAATAATTTTTCTCTAATATAATAGAATCGTATTGAGAATTTCTTCTTAAATAAAATCTTCTTGATTATTTATCTGTTATAAATTTATAATTAAAACGACAAAATTAGAAGATCATTTATCGATATTGACACATAATATATAAGATATCTTCTAATTTTAAATTTCATCATCTATATTTTATTTTTTCTAAAATTCATATCTTGCAAGTTTGATTTTAAAATAAGATTTATACGAATATATCGAGGGCATAAAATATTTTCTTCCACTTGTTGTCATAGTTAGAATCACGTCTAAAAGATTATACCCCGACTACTGGCGGGATTTAGAAATAAGATTTCTTCTCTCAAATATTATAAATCTAAGACCTACGGGCAAATCTATCATAGAATCGCATTCAGATTTATGCTCATGCTTTGCCGCAAATGCTGCCAGGATAAAGATATAATCGACGACATGAAAAATTATTTAAAAATCATTTTCCCCCCAAAAAATTGGTATTTCTAAGATATAAACCTCATGAATAGGAATATTTTGGTCTCCTTCCGAATGCTGACTGATATAATCATTTTCTCCTCCTAGTGCTGGCATCTCCAGAACGCACTATCAATTTTTTTTCCGCCGAATCAGAGACGACCGACCCAATCGAACGGCGGATCCAGGGATACGGGAATGCCCTTCCCGGGATGCAGAGTGCTGCCAGGCAAGAAATGATGCAGAACAGAATAAAGATAGAAGATCGCACTAAGAGATCTCCTCTTTTGGTGATCATACACGCTGCCGGATTGCCCAGAACGGAAAATTAGAAGATTGGATTTCAGATCTAATCGTGCCATAATATATTTTCAAATTTTCCGGCTCCCACCTTAAGATTTAGAAAATATTGGAAGAAGGCGTATTTCCTTCCCGATATTGAAAATTTTCGATATTTTTTAAGTAGTTTTATGTCGTGAAATTCAAATTTCAGAAATTTTAAATAAATGAAGTAGATATACTATTTAAAATAAAATATCGAAATTTTGATAGGTATATTTATGGTCATAAATTTTTTTATTTTAAAGGGGTTTGCTTACGAAAATAATATTTCCTATATTTTAGTATCGCTACTCCTAAGGCCGTGCATTCTAGATTTAAATATTATTCTATATAATTATAGATATATATATATATATCTTTATATATATTTCTAAATTTTATCCTATGGAATTATAGATATATATATCTTTATATATATTCCTATAGAATAAATTTGAATATATTTCTAAAAATCTATTTATATTTCAGAAAGTCTGAAAAGGTCCCAATTACGAATTCGTTTCAATATCTTCTGAAGGCAAAATTCTAATTAGATAGAAATGCAATCTTCCGTAAAGAGCCCATCTTCTCAAAAAATTATTAAATCTTATATATATATAAATAATAAAAATTAAAGATTATAAAGAAAAAATTATATTAAATCTCTATATATCTCTCGATATATCTTATTATATATCCCTTTTTATATCTCCCTAGATTTATTATTACTTCTTCTGTTTTTCTCTATATATCGCTCTATATATCTCATTTATATATCTCTATATATTTCTATCTATCTATCTATCT